CCCTGACCCTTTTGAGGTTTCCAGAAAATCTCTTGGATAGCTAATGATGTTTTCTAATTCAGGCGTTTACCCGTTTGATAGCTGGGAGATTTTCATTAAAACATGGAACGTTAGTCCTTAATTGATCCTGATTGGATTTTACATTAATTCGAAGATCAAATGAGGTCAGTGGGTAGCCAAAAGTTGAAACTTTATTCAAGTCATCACAAAATGGCTATTCTTTTTCAGGCGTGAAAACAGTTGCATGCCCTGCATGTTTTTAAGTGTCTTTAAGATGTCGTCTTCGAAGAGCTGTCTTAATGCTGTAACGGTTAATTATAAATTAGTTTTTAAAAAATGTTGACTTCTAGCTCCACGTTCATTATTAATAAAAGTTTTAATCGGTATCGAAGTTTTTATCAATATAGTCTTTGTAAGCTCTAGATCCCAATTTTCTTTTATATTGTGAACCATTCTGGTAGAAACAGTGATGATTGCACGAAGTATTTTTTTTCCATGTAATTTAGGTGCCCCAAGAAGGCGGTACGGTCTGCTCACTGAGCCCCGCAAAGGTGCATATAACCAAGAAGTTTACGCCTCCTTCCTTACCGTGACGCGAAAATATGTCAAAAGCTCGTTTTGAACCTGGATCTCCTGCTAATAAAGCAAGCGGTCTAATTACTGCGCCCAGGCTGCACAAAGTTTAAAATTTTTATTATATTGTTGTTATATTGATCTAGTCAAAATTCCTGATGGTTTCTGTGATTTTCTTCCAGATTTCCTTTTTAGCCTTAGTAGTAGCAAACTAACAAACAAATCTTTAAATTAGTTAATCTCGAATGACCAACTTTTGGAGCAGTTATGCTTTGTGCCTGGTGGGCCACTTTCCGTCCATGTGGTCAGCATTGTGATATGGTCCATGTAGTTAGCATTAAGTCATATACGTATACGCAAAAAGGTGTACAACATTAGCTTTAACCAACCATCAAAACTATTTAGTTATACATTTTATAACCTAATAAATATTAAAAACAAGTTTAAAATAACTGATATGTCAATTCCTTTTAAATATATTATTACACTTTTGAGTTTAATGTTAATGGAAAACAAATTTAACCACTAAATTTGATACAATGACATTTTAGTTCAAGTAGTCCCAGTTTTTAACATAAATACAGTTTTTTTTATCTAAATAACGATAATAAAGCACAATTATAATTGCAACATATGGCAGCAACTGATTCTTCTTTTAAAAAATGTTCTCAAATAAATCTTTTTTGGTTATGTCTTACAATATAGTTTTACTTTATTGTAGTTTCCTTTAAACAAATATTTTTTGATCCCTTCTTGCAAAAAATATACCCTTTTTTTTATGTTACTTAATTTGAATAAATGTATAATTAAGTTATTTACTTTCATACCAAATAACTCTATAAAAAATAAACAAATAAAAAAATATTCAAGAACAAGATTATCACGGGGATAAAGTGTCCTTAACAAAGGACTCTAAACAATTTTGAAAGCATGTAATTCCAGACTTTAATACTAAAAAAAAAAATTAGGTATTGATTGCAAACAAGATTGAGCATGCAAATGTGAAGACTAGTTAGAAGTTATTTAAAGTAAATTAAAAAAGACCTATCAAGAGATTGATAGTATAACTGCTGACTCATTATTTTAGTCAAATCTGAAGTAATTTAATAGATCACAGTAATTTAAAGTAAAAAAAGTCATACCGGTTTAAAAGAAAATTTTTAAAATTTCTTATAAGTTTTAGAAAATGTTTTAATTGTTTACATTGTTTTTCCAAAAAAAAAATGTAGTTTAGATTATTATTTAGATTATTAGATAATTATCTAAATAATAATTTTCTTTTTACGTATCAAACGTTTTAAACTTTGTTTGAGCTAAATTAAACTATTTAGGAAGTAATATGAAAAATTGATAAACTTCATTTTTTTAGTTTTTGATAAAGCCTTATTTTAAATTTGGGTTTGTCCATCGTATTTTGTCCAATATTGTAGATGAAATCAAAGTTAAAACTCATGGCTTACACCAGATGCTCTTTTTGGTAAATTTATGAATATAAACCATTTAGATTCTATTTATTATTTTGATTGGATACACCTAAAAAATTTAAAGATAGCATTTACTACAACACATTTAATAACAACAAAGTATGACGGATTATTAGTGTGTGGTTATTAGTGTGGTTATTAGTGCGAAGGATTATTAGTGTGTCACGGGTTATTAGTGTGTTATTATTAGTGTGTGATTTCAATTTACCCTCTATAAATTGAAATAACAGTGGCGTAAAGTCAGTTAAAGACACAAATATTAATACGTTATAATTTATAATTTGTTATCAAATCAATTCATCAACTGTTTATCTGATGTATATTTAACTTAATTTGTAACAGAGTATACTTTTCAAGCTGATGAAATTAAGTCAACTAGTACATTGGACCTTATAATTGCTGAATGCATTTAAAGAATTGAAAAATTTAAAATTGGATTGGAAAATTGATTTTAAAAATCGAAACGTAAACCAATGCTATGATGCCTTCTTAAAAAATTACAACAAAATCAAATATGTAAAAACAATTTATAAATTATGCAACTGGATATCTCTGCCACTGAAAATAAAAATGAAGTCAAAAAAGAAACTTTGGTTCAAATGTTTGACCTGTGACTTTTCCGATGTAAAATTGGTAGAAGAAAACAAACAGAGTAAAACGACATACAAAAGGTTCCGCTAAGATACCTCCGTACTTCCGCTAAGATATATAAATCACAAGTTGCTGAATTATATATTATTGAAAGTGGTTTGAATCTTTTTTAAATAATTGTTGACAAAAAGTGGTAATGGCAGAATTTTCATCATAATGGAAAGAGGTTCGGAGTGGTGTACCGCAAGGATCCGTGCTAGGTCCTATTTTATTTATAATATATATTAATGATATGCCAGAATTATTAAAAAGTGTAAATAAATTGCTGACAATACTAAACTATTAGCAAAAATAAATAATATCAACGATGTAAATGTATTACAAAATGACATAAATAAAATCGCAAAATGGTCCCAAACATGGCTTCTTTACTTGAATGAGTCAAAATGCAAAGTAATTCATCTTGCCAAATCTAACAAACATCGCAAATATACAATTCCATCAATAACAAATGAAATATCAAGTATATGCAGTACAAACAATAAAAATAATTTAGGTGTTATTTTGTCTAGTTATTTATAAGACTAAATATCATTGTCAAGTTATGTATGTATCAAATAAAGCAAATAAAGTACTTGGAATGTTAAGCAGGACTTTCACCTATATGGATAGTAAGTTACCATACTGTCTTTGACAATTTTACGGACCATACTGCCTTTTAAAATTTTTTCCATAACTTTACTAACTTCTCAAAACATTGTTTACAGCGTTTGTGAGACCTCATTTGGATATTGCAATACCGGCGTGAAACCCTCACCAAAAAAATTACATAATTTTAAACAAACAAGTACAACACCGAGCTACTCGTTTGATTTCATCACTCTGAAAATTGGATTTCAAAAAAAGATTAAAAATTGTAGGTATTCAATCTCTTGTTGACCGTAGAGTTTTAGGTGACCTAATACAGTGTTTCAAAATAATAAATGGCTTCAATATTGTAAATTGGTGTAACGTAAATTCGCTCTTTTATCCAGGAAATTTTGATAAAAGTTGAACGTCATAACTTTAAGCTATTAGAGTGTTAATTAAAGCAATGAACAGCATCATCAGTTTTTTACAAATCGTGTGGTGAACACTTGGAATAAATTGTCTAAAAACATAGTCAGTGTCACAACAAGAAAAATAGTTTCAAAGCAAGATTGGATAAATTTTTCAAATTGGAAAACCTTGAAGATGATTAACTATGATATTGGATTTATTCCCATTTAATTAACTTATTTTAGAATAATTTGTAAATTTTTATGTAGCCCGTCAAAACCAGAATTGGTTACACAAGCTATAGCTTGTTGTGGTACAATAAACAATAATAATTATAATATTAATAATAATAATAACTTTAACAATAAAAACAATAATAATAATGATAGTAATAAAATTTTTTGCCATAACTACAATAAGAACAAAAAAATGTTGAAATATGCAAAATAAAACATAAAGAGTTTACACTAATACGAAGACATAGATAGCAATGTAGAGCTGGACTAAAGAGCCTGCATTCTATCTGTCAAATCAAAATGTGCCATGATGTTGAATGTGATTACTGGAAAAAGTAAATGAATGAATCTATTGTTACATTTTTGTACAATAGAGCGAGCTAACTTTGACCTTGATTTCACTCATTGTTTATTAAAAAAAGGCAAAATAAAAACGCATAATGGTAAAATTTTATTTCGTAGAACGTAATTGAACGCTCTGTGTTAGCTAGGAAAACATGAAATATTAAATGTGTAAAGTTATTTTTTTTCACTCAAACCTGCTATGACCTTAATGTGGCCCCTACAGTTTAGATCACTTGAAATATCGAGCAGCTTATAGTAATGTTATATTTAAACACATATACAAAACAATTAAAAGACTAATCGTTTTCTCACATTGTTTAATTGATCTAGCAGTCTCATTTAAAATTTACATCGCTGCGCAACAATATTTATAATTTGTTGAAAAATTACTTTTCATATATTATATATTTGTTTTAGATACTGTAATTTGTTTTAGATACTGTCATTTGTTTTAGATACTGTCATTTGTTTTAGATACTGTCGTTTGTTTTAGATACTGTCATTTGTTTTAGATACTGTCATTTGTTTTAGATACTGTCATTTGTTTTAGATACTGTCATTTGTTTTAGATACTGTCATTTGTTTTAGATACTAAAAATGATAATAAATTTGAAAAATATTTAACTCCCAATATTAACAATATAATTAAAATCCAATTTAATTGAGGCTGTTAAATATCAAAGTATCACAAATATTGATTTAAATTAATTTAACTATTTGTGTGTGAACTTAGATTACAATCCATGCCTAACCAAAGGATGTGATCAACTATGTAAAGTTTCTTTGAACAAAGCAGAATGTTCTTGCATTTACGGAAAGCTGCAACCAAATGGCAAGACATGTAAGGAAGGTAATTTTCTAGAAAAAATTTATATTAATTTTTTGTACTTGACAACCATTTGATAGCAGATGTTATATATATTAACTTATTAAAAGACATTTTAAATGCGTTTTTAATTCAAATATGAAATGCACAAGTTTTTACATTATATATATTTTGTTCATTTTGTAGATTTTGGCCCTGTTTAAATAAAAAATACAAAATGCCTAAGCGAATTTTACATTTCAAAATTCTCTATTTGCTTTAAGTTTTTATAAATATTTAGTTTTTTAAACTAAATATTTATAAAAACTTAAAGCAAATAGAGAATTTTGAAATGTAAAATTCGCTTAGGCATTTTGTATTTTTTATTTAAACTTGTTTTGGGGTAAATAATATTATTTACCCCAAAACAAGTTGAATAAGTGTTAAATAAATGTTTAAATAGCACAAATTCTTGTAATGCTTTTTTCGTCTAGTTTTTTTTTTATATAAAATTGTCATTTTTTTATATAAATATGTCTTAAATTAAATTATCAGAAATTAGAAAAAAAAATCAAAAATTTATTATTTCTTTAGTTTCTAATTGCTTCTTTTTAACTAAAAAAGTTTTTTTATTTGAAAAAATTTAGCATGTAACAAATAAGAAATTTTATTTTAATATATTTACTTTATATATTATCAGCTATATTGTTGTCAAAGCAGATATAATTTTTTCAAATATCATTTATTATCGCGTTTTTTTTTTTTTTTCTTTTATATATTTTTGACGCTAGTTATATATTAAACACTTTACCTAAGCAATGGCGATAAGCTTTCTTCTCTCCAACTTATAAAAAAGGTGCTACTTCGGATCCTAACAACTATTCATCAATCTTGTTTACTTGTATTTGTTGTTGAAGCATGGAAAGAGATATTATCTCATATATTGTTGATTATGTAAATCATTGCAACATAATAACTTCTAGTTGTCACAGTTTTCTCAATCAATGTTCTATGTACACAAATCTTTCAAAATGTAAAAACAATTGAAGTATCGTACTTGACAAATATCTGATAACAGATTTTATACAAACTGACTTTCGAGGTGCGTTTAATTGGGTTTCTCATTCAAAATTGTTATTTAAACTTTCATTATACAATATACGCGGCAAACTTTGAAAGTGAATTTTGATTTCTGACAGACAGATCTCAACAAGGTAAGGTTTATATTCTTTATCATATTCAATTTGAATTATTTGCGGTGTACATGGGGTACACCGCTAACATTAAGGGTACATCACAAACGTTAAGGGTACACCGCAAACGTTTAAGGGTAGATCGCTAACGTTAAGAGTACACCGCTAACGTGTGCTCAGACTAACTTTGTAACTATGAAACTAACAGTAGTGTGCTTGAGTTTTGTTTTTAAGTTTTAATAATGACTTATCATCTGTAGTAAATAGTCTTTAATGTAAAATAAAGCTTTTGCTGGTGACTTTAAGTTATACAGCTGATTTCATAATACGAATCATAGCCATGTTTTTTAACTATTGCTATTCATACAAATTTTATTGTTCAGAAACTTAAAACAATAAACTTTTCTTTGGTCAGAAACTTAGAGCAATACAAAACACTATGAATTTTCTTTACTAGGATTTAGAAGACTGCGCAGCAAGATCTATATTTTGTTTAAAAAAAAAAATTCCTATAATGAGGCGCGTTACTGTCTTTTCATTTAGATCAAATTGTTAACAAGTTTGAATGTTAGTTAACCACCAATACTACGGCATCGTTTGAAATCCAATTCAAGTAAGGCTGTTATAAATGAAAATATTATAAACATTAATTTATTTATGTGCTCATAAATTTAGAGATTAGCAATCCATGCTTAATCAATCATGGTGGATGTCATCAAATATGTAAAAGAGAATCGGACAAAGCGGTATGTTCTTGCTATTCTGGAGTGCTTCAACCTGATGGCAAAACATGTAAAGAAAGTAATCTTTTAAAATATTTTTTAAATTAATTTTTGTATATAAAATACATTTTTATAAGGTACAAACTAATCGGAGGTAAAGAAAAAGTATTTGCCGGCATGGTTTTCTAATTATTTCTTCGATGTACACAAATCTTATACTGACTTTTAAAAGGCGTTTTAAATGCGTTTTAAATGCAAATTTGATATTTACATGTTGTTTACATGTTTTTTATTTATTTTGTACATTTTGTACATTGTATAACATTTTGTACATTCAGTCTTATCGATATGGATATGCGGTAATGGTGTCGTCTTGGAGCGCTTGCCTCATAAGCGAGAGGTTCTGAGTTCGATCTGCACCACGTCCCTGGTAGTACCGCGCTCAACTTGTTTCTCCACGCAGTCACCTTATTCTTCAAGGTTCGTGTTTTGGAGTTATAGTGTTAAAAGAGGTTTGTAATCACAACTTTAGCAGCCTCCTCAATTTTAGTGGCCTTTATGACCTTGGGGAAGAGAATTGATTAAAAAAATCTTCTAAAATTATATCTTTGTACACATCATTTATTAAAATATAATTGGTGCGCTTAGACTTGCGTAATAAAAATAATTTAACTTACATTACATTACAGTCTCAGAACACGTTTACAAGGAATTTAATTTTTAGTAAAAAAAAAAAAAAAATTGGTTAGGAAGAAAAATATTTATATTGCAATTATTTTTGAAATAAATAATTGCGATAAAAATGAGCTATGTTAAGTCTTTTACAGACATAACAAGAAAGTTAAAGACAGTAGATTTGTTTTAAAACTTTTTCTGATACACTTTTTCTGAAACACTTGTTTTTAAACTTTTTCTGATATAATTTCTCAAAATAAGGACTCCATACCTGTATTGAAAATTATAAATGCGGCCGTATATATCTACTATAAAACAGGGCCTGTACTTTGTATATGTTTTTAAATGGCGAAATGAGCTAAAATAAACTAAACTTTAGTGTGTACTAACTATCGTTATGCTATATGAATATACAATTAGCAATAACATCTCATTTTTTTAATGTATTTTTACTGATTAGCCAGAAATTTTTAGTTATTAAAAATTTCTGGTTAATCAGAATTTCATGGTAATTTTTATAAACTATTGTTTGTAATGAAACTATATTGAAGCATTAAATTTAAAACATGTTAGTTTACCTTAAAAGAAGATATCTTTACGATCAATTTACTAGAATAAAGAAGTTAAGGAAAGCAAATGTAGCATCAAACCTGTAAATATTTGAAAGCAACGAAATCAACATCTATACTCTCAAGATAATGTAACTAACAGTATTTAAAATTGAGCAACTTTCAAACACTGATTAGTCAGATTAAAACTATTAACGAAAGTTGTAACGGACCTCTTAATTTAAAACCTTATAAAATTAAGAGTCTTATTAAAAGTTTCGACTTAAATTAAAACAAAGTAAAATGAGGTATTAGTGAAAAAGGGATTTTACTAAGAAATCGCTTTAAAAAAAGTGGCTAATAATTGAGAAAAAGAAACAGCTCAAAGTATGTATACATATAAAGATTTCATCTGTATGCAAAGTTTTCCAGACTAAAACTTTCCAAATTTAATAGGATCATTATATATTGAGTAAATTTCGGGAAGCAACTTAGCACTAAAAACAAAATCAAATGTTGTTATTTTTTAACTAAATTATCATAATCCTCTCCAATCAAATACCTAAAACTGGAGCTAAAAATAAAAATTGAACCAATGACTGAATCAGTTCATCAAAATTTTCTGTTTTTCTACACAACCCCTTTTTTGTCAAATGGTTGTAACATCCTTAATTTAAAATTATATGCTGAAATAAACTGTATTTAAACTATTTTTTAATGATTTTCTTAAATGACTTTTTAAAATAGAACAATAGACATGTTTTTGTTTATTTAATTATTTATTATAACTTTAACTTCAAATTAATTTAAATCTTGTTTTGAAATAACTATAATAATAACCATATTATCTTTAAAATTAGGGAGATATAATATAACCAAATTAAATATAATACTATTAAAAAGAGGTATAACGGCTATAATTTCTAAAAAACACTAGCAGTAAAACTGAAATGTTGACAAGTCTGTGATTTGCAGTTTCTTGGGACAAAAATAGAATTAGCAGAATTAGTTGGCTGGCTGTAGTGGAAAAGTAGTTTATTGGGATTTTTTCCTATAGAATTCACCTCCCCAAGGCCATGATGGCCACTACATTTGAGGAGGTTACTTTAGTTGTGGTTACAACCCTCTCTCACTCTATAATTCCAAAACATGGATTTTGACCAACAAGGCCGCTGTACTGAGAAACAAGTTTAGTTAAAACTTAAGTAATGAATAAATAAATTGGTTTAAATCCATGGATTTGGTAATGGAAGCAAGCACTAGTTAGTTGCTTGCATGGAAACATATGTAGTAGCTCATCCAGTTAAACTGCCAAATCATATATTTACGAACAAGATTGTTTACTTGGATCTACTTAAAGCAAAGGCAATAAAAATTTTAAAAAAGTTTATATGAATCACTTGCAATAAAAAGCACACATGCGTTCTTAAAAATAATAACGTTAAAACGTTTAAAAGTGCATCCAAAATTGCAGAAGAAATCTTTAATAAACAAACAAGATCAATGCAAAAACATCATAATATAAAGTAACTGATAATCTTTATTTGATATTTGAAAAAAATCAAAAAGGTTTTTAAGTTCATTGAGAATACATTAAATAACCAACCATTGACAAATTGATATACACAATGACAGAACCATTAAGGATTTATTTACATTAACCATTAGGATGCATTGTACATGACATTAAACTTCCTGTCTTATTACCAAATATAGTTTTATGTGGTAAAGATAATCCCACAAAAATGCAGACGATGACGATGATCTAAAGTTTATAAATTTTTTAGCGGCAACACAAGCAAGAAGTGGGTGTATTAGTTATATCTTAAAGTGCTATAACATAGAGTAAAAAAGTGAACATACAATAGTTGAGATCATTACAAAGATAATGCCAGTGCAAACGCTATTACAAAAAAACCTCTAGGTGGAAAGTATTAGTTTTTTAAAACAAATTTAAATGTTCTATCCATTGCTAAGCAGTTACCTTTTTTTTACAACGACTAAAAAAAACTTAAAGACATAATAATAAAAAAAGTCACACCAAAAATTAATCAAAAATTTATTAATAATCACAAGTATCTAAAAAGCAAATAGGTTGACATAGCAAAGCAAAATAATATGTTTTGAATTACATTTTTATATTGTGGTATCAAATCGCCAATTGATAACTTAAACCTAGTAACTTAATAATCGAAGTTTTAAGTAAATGATCAAAGTTTCATTTATGTTTTTATGTAAATAAGTTTTTTTTTAAACAATTTTTTCTTTATAGATAAAATAATTTATTATGGAGACAATTTTTTAGCTTTAACTTTTTGAAATTTTCAAGTAATTTCATGTTTTTCTTAAATATGGATTACATGAAGATGTTAAATATAGGTTCATGCAGATATACAAAGTTTCATTTGTTGTCGATGTATTGTGATATACTTTGTTAAACAAATAATTGGCGTTTTGATAAAAAAAATTTTGTGAGAAGAATTTTCAAGTCTTCTCTTAAACGAGGGCTCTGTGTAAAAAAGAGAGCTCAGATATAAAGTTATTTAATAATATAGGATTATTGACAGTGTTATGATTTTTTGCAATAAATAGCTCAGTTTTGTTGAAGCTAAAATTTATGAACAATGAAAGCTCTAGTTTTGTTCAGAAGTGACATCAGATTTGAGGTAGACTAAGCAATCAAAATAAAGACTTTTTGTCAAGACAGGAGTACAAAATTAAGTCGTTAGGAAAAAGAACCACTTTAGGTGTAAGTTTGTCACGAAAGTCATTAGTGTAGATATTAATGGAAACAGGACCGTGGATAGAATCTTGAAGTACCCCAGAAGTTACTGAAGAAGTTTATTAACCATCGAGTATGTTTTTTATAATTCGGTTAGAAAAAAATAATTAGATAAATTCAAAAGTTTTTTTAGACCATAAAAGCCAGCTTACAGAGAAAATCAACATAGCAAACTTTATCAAAAGTTTTAGATATATTAAGATCAATCGCTTATTTTTTTTTTACTTCCATTTAATGCGCAATAGAACTATTCAGTCATAGCAGTTAGAAAGTAAGTCGTAAAATAAAAACGTTCATAACAAAATTGAATATCAGACAGTACGTTCTTTGACTCAAAATAAGTTAAATATTTGTTGATCAAAGTATAAAGAAGTTCAGCATGTCAAATTTTATAAAAGGTTTTAGATAAGTCAAGAGCAATAATCTAGCTTCTTCTAATATGCACAATAAATTTTTTTATTTACAGCAGTTTGCAAGCGAGCAAGAGAATTAGAAGCAGGATTGATTATTTTTTTGACAGTAAGTTATTTGACTCAAAATGAGATGTAAGAAAGTTGTGGATCTTGGCCTTGCTAATAATTGAAAGAAGGCTGATCGGAATAATAGGAGAGGTTAAAATGTTCACTGGTGTTTTTGAATATTGAAGCAACAGATGCCAATTACCAGCAGGCAGGAAAAAGAGAAAAGTTTAGAGAGAACCAAAGAGAGTTCTCAAGAACACTTTTGCAAGAATATGACGGAAATGTTGTCTGTACCACAAGAAGCCATTAGCTCAAAATAAAAGTTATCTTTTATTTTGAGCTAATGGCTATCTTTTATTTTTTGCTATAAAAGCAAACCCTTTAGAGCAGCAAGTACTGACAGGTAGTACTGGGTTACATGGTACCATCCTGAACCTGACTTAAGTTGTTAAAAAAAGCTACTTCCTGTTGCAGTACTTTAAAAATAGGTTTAGTTATGAATCTTTAAATAGTTGTTTCAATATATTTTTAACAACATGCTTTATCTTTTCCTCATACCTGATAATTAACCTAAAGTTGTAGCAAAATGCTCACAATCAAATAATCCTAATTGATCTCAAAAATACGCGCAAAAAGCACTTACAGAGTTTTGAAAACCATGGTGGCTTTAAAACAATGTAACACAATTCTACATCTGTATCAATATATATATATATATATATATATATATATATATATATATATATATATATATATATATATATATATATATATATATATATATATATTTATTAAGTAAATTAAAGACTTTTATATTAGCGTTAAAATTTATTTTTTTAAAAAATATTTTGTAAAATATTAAATCTCTATCAATCACAATCTATTATTCTTGATTAACTGCATCTTACAAAAAAGTTTAAAAAACTCAATAATCAAAACATTCTCATTTTGTATTATGGTACAATCTCATGTCCAATGTTCAATGTTGGTCCAATGTCCTAGAACTATTTTTTATTTCTGATTCATAAACTTGCAGAAGAAAAAAGTTAAATTTAACATAACTTCACTTGTTTTTAATCAATTTTAGTTTTTTCTTTTTTTTGATTATCCTTTCTTTTAATTATTTTTTTTCCTAGTTTTTATTAAATATACGTTTTGAATTTGTTGTTATTGGTTATGTTGAAACTAATGAATTATGTTTATTGTATTAAGATCCATGCTTATTTAACGGCGGTTGTGAACACATATGCAGAGTAATCTCAGGAAAAGCAGTATGCTCATGCCTTTCAGGAATATTGGAGCCAAATAATAAGACATGTAGAAGTAAGTTTTTTTTCATGTATTTAAATTACATTAGAGCTCACAAAATAGAACAGCTCAAACCTGGAGAACATTTTTTTAAAGCACAAGTTTTGATGAAATGTTGCAATAAGGTTGCATGATATATTGTTTTTTTTTATTAAATTTTTTAAATTTATATTCTTGTTTTGAAAGGGCTTGAAGATAAGATTGAATTTGTCTTCCTCTTGCCCCAGCCGTTTATATAAAATTTATTCAAGTCTAACTTTGTAAATATTTTCTTTATGGCAAAATATATAATAAAAAAAATAAATTGCTATTCTCTAATATAATAACTAATATTGCTATTTTAGGAAGTTATTTTTCTATTTATAGAATACTTAAATAAAAAATAAAAAAATTGAACTGCTATTAAAAGTCAATAGTCGCCCGTTTAGAGAAATTCGTTGCATCAAAAGAATATTTTTAGTTGCCTTTTACAAAGTCTTAGTTGCTTTTTACCAAGTCTTAGTTGCATTTTACAAAGTTTTGGTCACCTGGTACCAGGGGTGTGGATTCGTAAAAAAAAAATAACGACTCCGACTTCAGTTTTTAAAATTATTTGAGCACAACTCTGACTTTAATTCCGACTCCAACTTCAAAGCAAAATGTTTGAGAAATTCTTTGAATTCTTTAAAAAATAATACGCGATAAGTTAAAAATTTCTTTTTTGAAAATTTTTATATGAAACGTTCTTTGAGGTTTAGTATGAACATGAGGTTAATTGAATGTTTTGTACATGCACGTGCAATATCGAGAAGTTTTACTATTGGAGTCGGAGTTGCAATTTTGTTTAGCAGCTCCGACTCCGAAAATGTTGCAACTCCGACTCCGACTTCGAGTCGATAGCCCTGCCTGGTTCCATCGGGTGATCACGAGTATAAACCTCTGATTAATACGTTCACCATTTTCTTTTTCTAAATCAAATATAAAATAAATGTACTTTAGACGCCAAACGAACTGTGATCGCACTTCCTATAATTTATTTAATTATTAGAAAATAATAACAAAGTTTCTTTTTAATGCAATTAAGGAGACCTTACTAAACTATCCTTCAACGGTAGTGATTTCACAAGTTAAACATTTACTGGGAGTAATATGCTTTTATAGAGAGTTTTATAGAAATAAATTTTTATAAAAAGAAAACTTCCCTAAGTCAAATTTTAGTCAAATTTGAATAAAAATCATCAGGTTTCTTTTCCTTAAACTTTATTCAAAGAAAAAAAAAAGTAGCTTTTCAACAAAAATTTTTTATTAAAATGTAAATGGTAGATTAGGGTAATATGAGCAACTTAAATGAAAATTGGAATATTTTCAAAAATAATTATATTGGTTCAGCATAACTATTTTGTGTCCAAAAAAATTCCCATTCTATGTGACCTAAATAAGTCTTAATAAAAAAATTGACGGTCTTATTTTGACAGATGCTACATGTAAAATCTCAGTTTTATTGTTTTAATGTTGAGCTGGCTTAACATTAATAGAAAACACATTTTTTTTACGTTTTAGAAAACTAAAACAAAACACTTAGATGCGTATAAATCATTTCCCATTATCTACTATTTAACTTGATAGTTGATATTTATAAATATGAAAATACAAAAAAAAATACATAAAAATTAATATTTATTGGCAAATTTAAAATTTTATTGCGGTGAAACATTTCTCCAAAATTTCTAGATGAATTGGCTCCTGCAGCTCAAATTCTATTTGGCGACAGTGAAAAAAACGGAACGTTTGTTCATATAGTGTCAAAAATTATTGCGCAATCTCAAACTCAAATAGGACCAAATGCACGTTCATCTTCAAAAATGATAAAAAAAGCGTTGAATGATTTTTTAGTCCATTAACTTTTAAATGCCTTGAGTTTCGGAAAAGCTTTGAAAAAAAATGCAAATTCCAAAATCAAGTTAGCGTTGACTAAGGTGGCAAAAAAGTACCTCAGACCACCTCCAACATCAACAGATGTTGAAAGACTGTATTCTACAGCTGGAGATATTCTTCCGGCAAGAGCAGGTCTAACCATGTTTGCATGGCATTTTGAAATTTTGTTTAATAAAAAAAAAGGTATCATTTAAGGATACGCATCAAATATGGAAACAGTCGAGAGCAAATAAAAGATTTTAAGCTAGCTGAATCCAAGAAGTTATATTAAAAACACTTTTTTTATCAGGAAGACGGAAGATCTCTACCCAAGGGCCATCACAAAAAAAGGCTAGGAAAAAGTCATAGTCAGCTTTAAGGTAGTTGTAAATGGTACAGTGATAGGGGTTCCTATGATAGAAAGAATGAGATAATGGATATGAAGAGATTAAACCGTAATCAGAAGCAACTAATGGTGAATATGGAGAAGCTGAGTACTGACTAGAATAAGAAACAAGGCATTAGTCAAGTTGAGAAGGAAAATTATTCTGATTGTCAAGAAAGCAAGTTGGAAAGTTGACTATTTATGTTAGTGATTGAGAAAGTCAAAAGGTGTTAACACCTGCACACTTTAACATCTAAAGAGTCCCTGACACAAAAACCAACTTAATTAATGTGATGAGCATTAAAATCACAAACAACAACGACATTTGCTGAATGATATTAAGATTGAACTTGTTCAATTTTCCAGAAATAACATTGAAAATAGATTAATCAGAGCACTATAGAACAAAGAGAAATTACTACGAAGACCATGAATATTAGTGAATGATAGAATTAGATATCTTGGTGAAGGTGATGGTTTAATGTGTTTTATAATTTTTGGTATTAATGAACAATTTAATTTCTAATTTCTTTTATTATAAGTTTTTATTAATGAAATTAAATATATACATAAAATTTGGATTAACTTTTTATAACAATTTTAATCTTTCCAAATTATCTTTGTAATTAAAAATTTAAATATTACAAAAAAGTATGTAAAAAATCTTGAAAAAAAAGTAAACAATCTTGTGAAAAATCTTGAAAAGCTTTAAACAATTTCTAAAACTCATTTAGATTTTTTTGAAGATCCATGTATATTCAATGGTGGCTGTGAAGAAAAATGTGTAAACATTTTAGGTAGAGCTGTATGTTCATGCTTTGCAGGAAATTTGAATTTAGATAGAAGAACATGTACAAAAGGTAATTTTCTTTTAAATTTTTTTAATTAAAAGCAGTTCAAACCAATCACACAATTTTCTCACAATCAAATCACCTAAGTAAAACAAATAGAATAAATCCCGAAAAAGATAAGAATAATAAATGGAATAAAAAACAACCAAAAGAAAAGGAATTATTTCTATTAAATATGCAAAAAATATATCTAAGTTATTTTTAAAAGAGAGTATTAAACCTTTGCTTTCATTTATTTGCTATTGAAAGTTAGATTGTTTTTAAAAACAAAATTTCATTCTCGAGCAATAACTCAAGAACCTCGAGCAAAGACTCAAGGTTATCAAGCAATAACTCGAAGTTCTCGAGCAATCGAGAACCTAAAATTTTTTAAGAACAACTTCTATCAAGCACAAAAATTATTTTTAATATTGGTTACTTAACTTTTTTTGTTTTGTTTTATTTTTAATTATAGTATCTCTGGTAAAGTCTCAATGTTATTAAAAAGTTACTTAAATAATCGTAAACCACTTTTCATTGATAAAATTAATATAAAAAGAGTAACTTATACTAAATTTTAAGGTATTATTGTGAATAAAAATCTTTCATGGAAATACCACATTGGAAATCTAAATAATAAATTTGTAAAAAGTATATAATTAATATTTGTATAAGTATTCAATAAATATATATATATATATATATATATATATATATATATATATATATATATATATATATATATATATATATATATATATATATATATATATATATATATATATATATTTTAAAGATGTCACTTAACAAAATGAGTTGTCAGGTGTAATTTCTGATTGTCATATTTGGAAATTAAACAGGACTCTGTTATGATAAAGGCAAAGCAAGTGTAGTCAAAAAGGTGCATAGCGTGATTTGAAACTCCCTGCTAACAATAAAAAAAATCCATTTTAAAGTTTATGGATACTTTACATTTCCATTCTTGGTGTAAAGGAAAAAAAAAATTTAGAACGTAGTGTTCCAACTGTCAACAAATATTCAATTTTATTCTTATTGAATGGAGAACAATCCACTTAATGAATGATTGATGAAAGAGTATTGCTATGTCGGAAAACAATATAATCTTGATATATTTACCAGTGTTTTATCCATTGGACAGAGGTGTATATTGCCAGGTTGAGCAAGTAAGGAAGTTATTACCAAATATTACAAAGATAAAAATGCAAAAACATAGGTTAAAGAAAATTAGCCTATGTTGCTTAAACAGTTGTATGAGTGCAGCAAGTGTATTATAGATTTGCACGCTGTACATTTGTTGGTTTTTTAATCACGTTTTTTTACGTATAATAAATTTATACTAATACATTTGATGAATTTTTAAATATAGGCTAATTAAAATTAAAATAAAATCAATCAATAGACATTAGCTATCTCAGAAATGTTTAATCAACCTCGTCAACGCAATTGCCAACATAAAAACCTTAACCATTATTTTTTGAACCAGTTACGATAGCTTCAAGGTTTAGCCAGTATTGGGAGAATAAAAAAAAAAATTAATATAAAAGAGTTTTTTTAAGAAAAAAATCTGTTTCATGTACAAAAGTCCCAAATTCTAATCCCTTGGCTCTGAAACAAAACATGTTTTCTAAAAATATGTGTCAATGAGTTTTTCTTGTATAAAAAATTTAAATACTTAAATTATCTATTTTTTCTGAATGCTATGTAAAAATGTATAATTTAAAATTGCTTTTAGATATAAATTTTAAATTTAATACATGTATTTTGTTTTGATTGGTATTGTCAAAAACTAAAATAATTTGCTTTTTTTTTAATGTTTGTAAGTTTCACCGAATTTCTTCAAAATGTAATAATTTTTTGGTTTTTGGTTTTTATATTTTATTTGGTTTTAATACAGGTAGGTACACATTAAAAACACAAACACCTTAAAAACTACAAAGTCATAATTTATGTTCTTGTCAACCATTGTATGAGCTTTAACGCATAATATTATTTGTTTTGAGACTCCATATAAATACTCTCTACAAAAAAATACAAGTTTTTTCTTATTAATAATATGCGAAAAAAACAATTTAAAAATAAATTAATTTAAAACTAAAAAAACACGGTTTTTGGCATGGGTAAGCACCAATTTGAAAATAAGATTGCAATTCCTTTTTTTTTCAAATAACTATATTGTTGCTACAAATAAAAATAAAAAAAGTTTTCACAATATCCTTCTCTGATTGATAAAATAAGCTTTTTACTAGCAGTAGAGACGCTTGTAGTTTTTAAGGGGCACAAAGAGTAATACAAACATTGAGACACTAAGTCAAAATTTCTCTCTAGAATCAATAAGTTACATTTCAAATCAACATAAAGCATTTCCTATATTAATGTTATCGCTTTCCACGTCATTTAAAATACCTTTATATTTAGCATTTGGTTGATGTGGCTAGTTTAATCATTATTGGCTTCATTTCATCAACTCGACAAGAAATTTTGCTGTATGCTGATTTCTTTATCTCATGGCAGACTGGGCAGTCTTTAAAACTCTTTACTGCACAAATGCCATTGCAAACACATTTTAATTTGTATTTATAAAATTGTTCTTTTCCTTTATCTTTTTCTTGCTTTTTTTTCTCCTTTCGATCATTTTTTTTTTTCTTTTTCTAATTTCAATCAACTCAACCTGTTCAATGATGTTTCGGGCTTCCATTGACCCATGTTTGTTTGTGACACGTATATTTTTTGTTTTATTCATGTCTTTTGGCTTTACCTTGTTTACTGTAAGCAAACCTGGTATATTTTCTACAATTAAACTTTTTTCATAACTTTTTTTTATAATCATCAGCGACTGCTCGAACATAAATTTCCAATAATTAGCTCATCCATAACGATGATTTGTTTTTGCTAATTCGGAAATGAATGTGGAGTAATTGTTGTTAACAAAACATTTGCTGATGAACGTGTGCATATTTTCTTTGGTGTACTTAGAACAAGATTGCTAGAAGGCTCTTGTTCTTGATTTTGAACCATACAGTTTGCAGCCTGTTGAAATTTGTCTTGCTGCATATTATTTACATTTAAACCTTCTTTAGGTATGCCAACTCTCTTTGCAGCATTAATTATGGTATCCCTTGAAGCCCATTTACCCCACATTTTTCCTAAAATTGTCATGAAGCCTTCTCGGTTTATTGTTTTGAAAGTTGTAAAAAGTTCATCTCTTTTTTTTGTAATATTCACGATGCATGTTTTGATTAGGACTTTGATCCAACAGTTGAGTAACCCCCCAGTTGTATCAGAAGGACTTATAAACAAGTTAATTTTTTTTTCATGGAGGAAATGTAGAACATTGTAGTCAAATCCTGAACTGTGTCCGTCTGCTGGTTTTACAATAGGTCGTTGTATATTTTCTTCTGAAAAATATATATCAAACTTTTTGTGTAGGTTCAATAAAGAATGGTTATCCTAGCTTCCATTTTCATTAGATGATATAATTAAATTTTTTATATTTTTGACAGCTGTTTTTGTGGCCATATGACTTGTGATACCTTTACCAGCAAAAATAACTTGTGAAACAACAATTTTGCCTTAAATGTAAAATAAAAAAAATATTACTTATGATTAAACCTATACTTAACATAACCATGGGGATAAAAACATTCACTAAAAACAAACACTAAAATTATTGACTAATACTTCTTAAGTGATGAAAACATGATTAGTTGTTTTTTTTTTAGATAAATGCAAATTATTGCATAGGTACATTTACATAAATAGTTTGTGTTAATATTACCTGCTAATTAAATAACTGGGCATATTATTATTGATTCACGATTCTCTCTAATCATTTTTCTGCAAGGTTCCCCACGTGCAACATACGCGAGCCCAGAATTTGTTTCATCAACCCCATAATTTATAAACTGGGGTGTTTCATCAAAATTAAAAATTCTTTTTGTATCAATATCACCTTTCCACACACCAGGTTTAAGTTTTTTTGAGTTTCTGAAAATCTCACATTTAATAAGTTCTTCAGCCAATGAGTCTAAAAGATAAATTCAAAATGTTTTTGCTAGTACACAGCCCCCAGAGCTAATCTAAGACACCTATGTATCATTGTTTTAATTATCAAGCATATCAGCAAATAAAGTACAAAAATATATTATAAATTATTTTTTTACCTAAATGTGACTCGGGCGTACCTCTTGTGCAGTTCAATGCCCTGTTAATAGGTATATTTCCTTGTCGTTTTAGAACTAAGCAATGGTGCTCTGCTTCCCATCTCTGCCAAAACGACTGACCAAGCCTATAATAAATTTAAAACTTGTGTTTATAATATAGTTATGTTGGAATTATATGGAATAGTATTAAAAACAATTAACTAGTGTAATATATTACAAAAAGAAACTTTCATTGTAATTTATTTAGTAACTAAATACTCTACTTATTTTCCTGTCTTAACAACATGTTTTGCATTATCAGATAGTTTACCGAAATTGCGACCGCCTTGATTCGTGGTGTTGCAGTAGTCTCTAATTTTAAAGACATCAATAATTAGATTAGTGACTTGCTTCCTCGATATTCCTTGATGGCACCTGTTGTTTATTTTTAATGAATTCTACAATCGAGTGTTCTTTTTCTGCTGTTAAAATTTGCAGACGTTGCTTTTTTATATTATCAGTTTTTCCATCTAATCTCCGATCAATGGTTCCTCGATCTTTGATAAAAGAAAACATACCAGTTTGCAAAGCAGCATAGCCTCTTTTTTTGTGCTCTATGCACCAAGACACTGCTTGTTGAATCTGAAGTTCTTTCATATTTATTTTTTTCCTCTGGATTTTTGCCTCTGCCTTTGAATTTGGTTTTCCAACAACAAAAGGTTCTTTTCTCACTTTTAAAATAAATTTTGGTTTCCCCATTGCAAAATTACTTAAAAGTGACTCTTTTTGTTTTTTTTTGATTAACCACCTTAGGTTTTGCCAAGTTTACTGAAAGTAAACCAGTCACTTCTGCTAAATTGAGGCTTTTCT